CTCAAATAATTCTAGATGTTGCTATAGCAGAGACAAGAGATGCAGGGAGACCACTGCTGAAATACTTTAATGAGTTACTGTTCAGTTGTTCTCAGAATCTATTTGCCAGAATCCAAAGCAAAATTACAGTCCTCCGGCATTAAAGTGTCTGAAGATTTGTACTAAACCATGGTGCGTGTATATTATTTGCCATGGCAACAATGCTAATACATCCTGTGCCTGAACTAAGATTAGCCGAGGTACAGGGCATGAAAGCAAGCATTCAAAAATATTCTGCCCTTAACGTGACAGATTTGTCCATGTATTTCCCCTATTAAGAAAAACTTTGATGTTGCTCTATGGCAATAAGAAAATATGGATGGGAAGCGTTTGTCAGTTAGGAGAATATAGGAATTGCTGGACTGGATTGGGCATGGGGTCCATCTAGCCCAAAACTTGTCTCCAACAATGGTCTGTCACAGCTGCTTCAGAGGAAAGGACAAAAAATTATGACGTTATGGAATAATCTGTCCACAGGGCGTTTCGTTTCTTCTTGACACTCTTTTGTTAGTGGATGGCTTATGCCCTCATCATGACAGTCTATATATCCCTTACATTTCTTCCTCCTGTCTAAATTATACATAATCCTTTTTGGAATCCTGCTAAGCTCCTGGCCTCAGTAAGATCTTGTGGCAAGGAGTTCCACTTTTCAATTGTACATTGTGTAAAAAAGTATTTTTGATCCAATTTAGATTTGCTGCCTTCCCATCGCATTGCATTGCTCCTTGTCCTTTTTTACTATTGCTATATTACTGAAGTGTTTAGGTGCTATACGTACACATAGCAAGAGATGGGCTACCCCATGAAGAGCTTACAATCTAAATAGACCAGGCAGACAAAAGAAGCATTAATACCCACATTTTACAGCGGAGTCTGTGGTGGAGGCCAGATGTCTTGGGTCCAGTCTGGCACCTCAACTGCTAGCCCCTCTTTGTACTATGAGAAAGTAAATAGGAGTACTCAATTTATTTCTTCTTGCCCAGGTATTATTCTGTATCCATCTATCATGTCCCTCCTTATTTATCTCCTCTTTAAACTAAGCACTCCCAGTCTTTTCAATCTCTCTTCACAGCCTAAGTCTTTCTGTGCTTCTACTTAATCTCGTCACCCATCCCTGAACCCCCATCTATGTTCTTTACGAGGACTACATGCAGTGTACCAGAGCAGGTGCTTTGTAGAATGGCACCTTAACATTTTCATCTTTATTTTCCGTCCCAGGCCTTACACACCCTAACATTTTGTTTTCTTTTTCGAACCAGTTTGCTGCTGTCATAATTTCTGTTTGAAGACCAGCATGACCCATTGATCTTAAGGCAGATTCAGTATATATTTAGGAATTAAATTCTTTGTTTAGTACGCTCTCATTGAAACACACATGGGCCAAAAGTCCAGGACTTGTGCCTCATGTGTTATGCTAGCTAAGAACATTCCCTTTCTCCAGAGCTCTGCCATTTTACCCTGTCCTTCACCCCGTCAGCATCCTCAGAAACTCTGCGTTGCAATGACCCACCCTCCAGCTCAATGTAGGAATTGCCAACCTAGATCAGACCATTGATCCATCAAATCTAGCACCTTGCCGCTAGCAGTGGCCAACGCCAGATGCGCCAAAGAAAGGTGACTCCCCCATTGTACCATTCTTAGCCAGCAGTGCATTGCTATACAGGGCAGGCGGAATTCTTTTCTGGTCCCTGCAGAGGTTAAGTTTATGCCTTGAGGAGGGAGTTTTGATTGCCCTAATCCTAGGCTGCATAACTGCAAACGTTCTGAATGCTTGTAAAATTACTCAGCTGCCTGGTTTCACAATTCCCTGCGGTGGTGAATTCCGCAGGCTGGCTACATGCTTTTGTGAAGACACTCTCACATTCCAGAGTTAACCTGCTCGCCATCCCTCCTCCTACCCCTTTTATAAAAAACAATATTTTGAGATGATGTAAAAAAGGAGTCATGGAATAGTTTTCACTATAAACCTTCAATTGCGTATAAAATTATCGGAGGAAACCGGAGTAAAAAGGCAGAAGCCTTACAGCTATGCTGAAAGGGGAGGGAAGGAATCAGAAAAGCTAGTAGAAGCTTGGGGGACACATCCATTTTCCCTAGTAGTTATACCATAAAACCATCCTCTTCTCTATGCTGAACTAATATTAGTCTTTGCAATATCTCCTACCTACCTCTAGCCACCACTTCCTTGCCCTTTCAGTCTCAGCGATAGCTTTCTTGTTGCTATGGTACACACAGCCTCTCTACATTATTCCACGCATTCCACCTGACCCTGTCCTTCCTTCTGAGAGCCAAATGGCCCTCATAGCTCCTCCAGGCACTTCCAAGCATGTGATCTGAGTGGAGAGACGCCACAGCGTTACAATGAAGCTACAGTCCCCTGCCCACAATGTGTAACTTGGTATGATCTGAGTATCTCTCCATAATGAATGGCACAAAGCCAGTCCGCCATGGCTTGGCCTTGGAACAGTACAGCCCTAGCTATGGGGTGAATGGGTTTTGCTTTGCTTTGAGGTTTGCACCAGTGGTGAAACACTGTTCCAGCCTAATCTGGGGGAAGCAGAAGATCTCGTGTGTTGAGACTGCATCAGCCAGATTTACCAGAGGCTGCACCCACATGGGAGAAATGATACGGGAAAGGATCTCGGCCATGTAGTCGAAGCAGTTTTGACAAGGGCTCAGCAGAGGCCTTTGAAGGAGGAATGAGCAAAAGTCGTCTACTTGTTTGGTATGGTGCATTTTTTCCCTGTCACTTGCTGTAAGCCCTAGAGAACCTGGAAAGGTCCCACACCGACTCTGCACAGGAAAAGCAGAGAAGGTTGGCGTGGGGCTCCTTAGATGTGCCGGACCACAGTGCTACACAATGGTGCCATTGTAATACACTCGTAGAGCATGTTACGCATGTCCCGCTAGTGGCTGGTCCACAAAGGATACCAGCCTTCTGCTAAAAGCAAAAACAGCGAGGAGTCCTTGTGGCACCTTAGAGACTAACAAATTTATTTGGGCATAAGCTTTTGTGGGCTAGAACCCACTTCATCAGGTGCATGGAGTGGAACATACAGGAGCAGGTATAAATACATGAAAGGATGGGAGTTGCCTTACCAAGTATGAGGTCAGTCTAACGAGACAATTCACTTAACAGCAGAATACCAAGGGAGGAAAAATAACTTATGTAGTGGTACATAACAGTTGACAAGAAGGTGTGAGTAACAATAGGGGGAAATTAGTATTGGGGAAATTAGGTTTAGGTTTTGTAATGACCCTACCACTCCCAGTCTTTATTCAGGCCTAATCTGATTGTGTCCAGTTTACAAATTAATTCCAGTTCTGCTGTTTCACATTGGAGTCTGTTTTTGTTTTTTATTGAAGAATTGACACTTTTAGGTCTGTTATTGAGTGACCAGAGAGATTGAAGTGTTCTCCTATTGGTTTTTGAATGTTATGATTCCTGATGTCAGATTTGTGTCCATTTATTCTTTTGAATAGAGACTTAGAGACTGTCCGGTTTGGCCAATGTACATGGCAGAGGGGCATTGCTGGCACATGATGGCATATATCACATTGGTAGATGTGCAGGTGAACAAGCCCCTGATGGTGTGGCTGATGTGGTTAGGTCCTATGATCGTGTCACTTGAATAGATATGTGGACAGAGTTGGCATCGGGGTTTGTTGCAGGGTTTGGTTCCTGGGTTGGTGTTTTTGTTGTGTGGTGTGTAGTTGCTGGTGAGTATTTGCTTCAGGTTGGGGGGCTGTCTGTAAGCGAGGACTGG